GATAGGTCCTGAAAGAGCTTAAACCTAACAATTTCTCTCGAGTGTGTGTATATTATCATCAAAAAGATTCTGTCTCCGATCTTCCTCCCTCTCTGAAGAATCTCCGATTTTATTTCTTTTTTGACCACACACTTCAATGGCGGAAGCTGTTTCTGCTCAAACTCCGTCTCTCTCCGAGGTATTCTTCATCTAACACCTTCATTTTGCTCTCTGTCCTCTAATTTCACCGATGCTCAGTTTTTTCTTCCGATCTACTGAAGATTGAGCTGATTCTCTTTGATTTCTCTCATTATCTTTCGATTTTGAAATCTGGATTTGATTTATTTCTAAGTTTACTCACTTTGATAGATCTGATTTCATTTTGGGTTCTGATTATAATTAGATTGCTTTCTCTCTTCAATACATATTAGGGGTCTTCGATTTTTTTTGATCGAGTTACGAAACAAAAAAAGATTGATTTGAACAAGTCAACAAGATTGGATCATGAAAGTTTCAATCTTTTTTTTTTTTAAGGAAATGGAATAGTCTTGGTTTGTCTGGTGAAGAATCTATGTTGGTTTCGTTTGGTCTATAAACATTCTGAAAACAAATTGCTGATTTGGTGTGTTTGTTCATTTGGTAGCAATATCATTTGGAGAAAGAAGTGAAACAAGACACAAATGCAAAGCCTGTGGAAGTGAAAGAAGTGGCACCAGAAGTCACTACTCAAGCTGATGAGGTTAGTACAGAACAAACCAAGGAAGAATCGCCTGCCGAGGAAGCGGTTTCTGAAGCGGTTTCTGAAGTTGAAGAGAAGTCTGAATCTCCTGCTTCTACCGGAGTGACTTCTGAGGCTCCTGCTTCTGCGGATGCTGAAGAGACTCCTGCTGCTGAAGAAAGTAATGAAGAAAACACTAGTGAAGAAGTTTCTGAGGAAACTCCTGATGAGATCAAGGTATATTGATTGTACTTAACCATTCACCACAAAAGAAAGAGACTTTTTTCGATAGCTCTCTCTTGATAAGTACATTTCCTTGTGGTGGTCTTTTTTCAGCTTGAGACAGCTCCAGCCGATTTCCGTTTCCCGACAACAAACCAAACAAGGCATTGCTTCACTCGTTACATTGAATATCACAGGTGAAAAACCAATGTTCAGCTGTGTTTTCCCCTTTTGTCTAACACTCTGATGTCTCTCTCTCACACACATCTAAGTCTTGTAATTTGTTTTCAAAATCTCCAGATGTGTAGCTGCTAAGGGTGACGAAGCTCCAGAATGCGATAAGTTTGCAAAGTTTTATCGATCTCTCTGTCCCAGCGAATGGGTATACTTTCCATTTAGTTTTATTCACTCTTGTGCTTTAAATAGACTGCTGCACTGTTATGCGATCACTGTTCGCGTTGTTTAGTGATGTCTTCCCGCTGTTCTGCTTCTTGATGCTGGAAAATCTGTGTTCGATGTTTCGCAGGTTGATAGGTGGAACGAGCAAAGAGAGAACGGAACCTTCCCTGGTCCTCTGTAAGATTGCTGCACCATCATGCTCTCTTCGCTGTTACCTTCTTCATGATGTTTGCCCCGAATTACACTGCAGAGTTTAATAAGATTTTACAAAACCAGCACTTCTGGTTTCCCAATCATAAAATGTGAGAATTTAACAAAAACTTATAATCTCAGTTTTCTTTTCCATATTTGTTCGCAAGTTTTGAGGATCATCGCATTCTGATATGTTGTTCTTACTGATTTTCCATGGCGAGCTTCAATTCTTCTTAGTACTGGAGACATTTTTGTCTTCTGTTTTTCTTAAGGTTTGCATACATAATTATTTATCGAAACTATTCCAATCAAAAGAAACATTGGAAGATATACGAATTCTATCTTAAAATCATTTCTGGCAATATTTCCTTTCTAATATGAAGGTATGTACAAAGTAATTCCCATTGAAGAAACTTTGATAATTTTGTAGCTAAAAGTAGCTTGAACAAAAGATTAAAACACTCTTAATAAGTAGTACACTTGCAAATACCAAATGAATTATTGATAGATACATTAGATGAGTAATTTGAATGTCGAAACAGTAACAAATTAGTTTTAATAGATTAATGATTTTTGTTTGTTTTAGCTACATATTTTTTAGCTTGTATATACATAACAAAATCATTTTTTCAATGTAGTAAAGGTTTCGCAAGTGGTAACTATTACTCACAAGCTGTAGTTTGGTCACATCTGATTCATTAATCAGTAATGGTTTTCTTTTTTCACTATAATGCTATAACTTATAACTATCATCCCAATGCCAAATAGCATAGGAAAAAATCTCACAAGGCCTGTGAAATAATGTTCATCATCTGGTTTTACTTGGCTCTCTCTGGCATAGACAGTCCGGTAATGGATTCTCGTAGAAAGATTCCTCTGAACGGTGTCTCTCCAAACCCTTTGTTCCTGAAACCGGTCCTTTTCTCCTCCTCGGTGATCCTTGTCTGTATCATATAACCATAACAGTCACTAGAACAATGTTGTTACTGTCTGAAAAAAGATCACTACAACAAATGTTGGTTTATCCCTTACCGGGTTTTGTGAATCTCTATGATTTTTTCATACACTTGCCGGTTATCTTTCTCAGCTCCTCTTCCAATTCTGTCTATCAACCTCACAATGCCTTTCCTGAATCACAAATAACAACAAAACGTTAAGTAACATAGATTCCATTACTTAACCCAAAACAAACACAATTTCACCTGTCGGGAGAGATGGTTTTCCGGTGACCAAGATACCGGCGATGCCCTTCAACAGCTCTTGCCATGTTTCCGCTATAAGATGGAATAAAAACATCGCTTTCAACGGAAACAATGTAGTCAAGTGCAGCCATTTGAGTTGAGTGGTTCATAAACGGCTTAAGCTCTTCTCTTGTTGCCAATTTTTCCTTAAATGTTAACACGCACACACACAAAAAGACCGGTCAGTACGTCTTACATTCGAGATCACATTATTAATAAACAACCAAATAGGCTTGAAACTTTGTAAGTACCTTACTCATTAACATGGAGAAACGAGAGCGTAAACCGGCTAATCGAGACTCACCACCGTAAATCTCACCAGCAGCTATATAGATTGGTGTGTTTGATGAATATCCGAGAGCTGTTAGCAAAATTCCGACTTCTTTTGGAGTCAATGGGCAATTCCCTTTGAGTCTTTGTACTCTTCCATCAATATCTTTCACTTTCCAATACGCTGTGTTCTTCCTAAACGCGCAAACTTCTTATTCGAACATAACAACCCGCAAGAAATTACACAAAACAAGTACATTGTACATTTTGGTTACCTTATCTTCCTTAGCTCAGCAGCTTCAGAGGCGGATAAACCGTGGTTGCAGCCGCTGAAAGCTAGCATGTCTTTCTCGAATCTCAAATGCAGCGCAATGTATAAACCATAAGACCTCATTCTATCAACCAATAGCTGCAAGATTTATCATAAAAATGGTTAAAAACTCAGTTAGAGAGGAGTATATATGTCATATATTGCAGGTAAATCAATAGTTTTACTTTTCCCATTGATTTGATTTTGGTAGAGAAGCGTAGAGCATCATAACAAGCACGGCAACGAAGCTTCTGGATATCTGGAGGTAGATTGTTGTTTGTTAGACGAGAATCGGATTTAGCGGCTCGGATCACCTGAGTGAAGAAGCACACATTAATAAAAGCAAAAACAGGATTAAGCACCCAAAAGAAGCAGTTGAAAAAATATGAAGATCACCTTGTATTCATCCCACATGCTAGCTATCTCATTTTGGTAGTAACTCAATCCTGAATAGCTTTTGAAATGTTTAACCACCTTTGTCAATCCATCAATACCTTTTGGAAGCTTCTTGATGACTCTTACATCTTTAGATAAAGCATTGATGAAGTGATCTTCATCAAATACATCGGAGAATTTACTGTTTTTACAAAAGCAGGTTAAAAACAGGATCAAGAGATGCTAAGACAAGAAGAAGAAGAAAACAGAGTGTGGTAACATGGAGTTAACCTAGTATCCTGCCAGAAAGATCGTTTATCGAGCTCCGGGACTACAAGTGTCGCATTTATTATACGGGCTATAGCTACCATGTCACATATCTGTAAATTTTGCAGTGCAAGAAGAATGATTTAACCATCAGTATTTCATATTTGATATTTGTGAGTGCAGAGAAACACAAAGAGTACTACAAACTTACCCCAGCACGCATCTGGTTAAGCCCGCCATTCGTGTGAACAAGAAGATAGCCTCTAGATTCCAATGGAGCTGAAAGAACCAAATAACCAGAGAGTATGGAAAAGATTTGAGTCATGAGTCAACACAAAACTTTGATTTTTGCTACAAAAGAAACCAAACCAGACAAATTTTCTTTTCTCACATGTGTAACTAGGAGTGGGATTGACACAAGGGACGAAACCGCGGTTTGGTGGAGGTTTCCAAAGCTTGTCGAAATCCAGTATCCCGCTTGTAATGTTCAACTGTCAAATCTAAAAGAGTGAAAAACAGGAAAAGAAGCATGATCCTTCTATTCAAAACAATCTAAAACTCCGCAAACTCGCGCTACGCATAAAAATATACTTTCCTCTAATTCCACTCTTGCTCAAGAAGCAACAAACCCATCATAAAGAAATATTGCTAATTACCCACTAATGATTTACTCACAAGCCTTCAATAAGCTGTACAAAGAATCAAAGTAAGAAAGTTTGAAACCTTG